CAGTATCTTTATAGATGTTCAACCATCTGTTTTTTGTATCTGTCTCTTAAATAATAAGATATCCATGGTGTGGTACAAATACTATAAAAATATACTAGATATATATATCAAATATAGGTGGTAAATCTTGTTTCCTGAGGATTTTTTGGGAAAAAAAGATAGGATATTTGATAACAAATAGTATATACCTAGAGAATTTGGAAAAAACATAATAATTAAAATTTTTAAGAAATATAGTTATCAAAGTTCTTTTATTCAAGGAGTTTGTTTCAATATACTTTTTGAACGTTAATGTTATTTATACGCGTGTAAGTGTTTTACTACCTACTAGGACGTACTATTTCTTAAAAACCACAGTAATAATAATATTTATTACTATACTATTACATAATTTAAATCTACTAAAACCAATATTTAATGTCGTAACTGCCCAAATACTGTCTGTATTTGGGCATTTCTAAGTAATTATTAGTATCTAATTAAATTTTTTAAAAGACACGTAAAACATGGATGCAAAACAAATGGACTGTATGCTAGATTGTATGGAACAATATGAATAAATTATATAAACAAACAATCAGGTATTTTATATAGTTAAACTTACTTCTTATTATAACGTTACTTTCTATAGTTAAGTTATTTTAGAAATAGAAATAGAATCAATCTTTATTCAAATTAACTTAATATAAGCACTTTTGAATAGTCAAGTTTTTTTATTCTACCGGAATGCAGATTCATCACAAGAAGAATAAGCAAGAAACTTCTGTGCTGCTCTTTTAAATAAATATTGGTTTACTTATATTTAATTAACAACAAGGATTAGACATGCGACAATCAACATAGAAACCGCTACGCACTTAATCTCCGATTTGAAAACTTTAATGATTGATTTAAAACAATAATTTGCAGTCAGTGCAACCTGGTCGATGCCGAAAGATAACTAACTATTAAGTTTACTATGTATATCATCATCATCATCATCATCGCAGCCCGGAAGACGTCCACTGCTGGACATAGGCCTATGTATATATACATATATAAATAATTTAATTTCCATATGTACCTATCTACCCAATTGACATGAATACATATATAAATCTTTACAGCGCGTCTATTCCTCCACTTCAATTATTCAATGTTTCTTAACGAGCTTGATATGAAAACCGTTTAATAGACGTTTAGCATTATATCTCTTTAACATGTCATTCGAATATTATTATTAATGGTATTATGGCTCCCCTTATAAAAATTCTGAATAAATAGGTGATAAAAATGGAACTTAATAAGTTGCGATTCGGCACGGTAGAGGGCCCAAATCCTTTTTATGTCCCCCGGTAAGGACTTGTAAAATTGAGTTTATACACTAAAAGGTAATCTTAGTTTATAGTAGGTATATCTACCTAACGGCTGAATTAGGAAGACCTTCCTATACGTAGTAAACATTATGCACTTTTAATGAAATAATTATTTCTATATATTTCTTCATGCATTTATTAAATACACTTGAAAAACATAGTTAATTCTATTGATTATATAAGGAATCATCAAAATCAGTCTATAATAGACTGACTACACATATTTAGAATTTGAAAGTGCAACTTAAAAGCTTGAAAGTAAAAAAATTTTAGAAAAGCTTTATAAAATTGATTGAAAAAATGTTCCATCATAATGAAATCTTGACATTAAAAAAAAATACATATTACATATATATCACGTCATAACGTAGCGCATATAAGCAGGAATTATTTTCCTTTTATACACCTACCAAAAACATATATCCATTGTTATAGTAACGGATGACAATCGATTCATGTTACCCCCATGAATCAGAATAAACTACATAGATTCAAACTAGCTCTATCTGAAATATCTTTACAAAATTAATTTACTTATACTGTAATTCTTTGTGCATTATCTACAATATAAGACATTTGTCTAGGCTACAATTGATAACTCTCGTCTTCAGTTAAAGCTGTATTATCCTGGAAATCTTCAGACTAATACATATCTGATTTTACAAGATATAAATTAAAATTCACAACGCGACAACCCTCGCGAGCTTTGAAGTTTCGCCGCCGTGAAATAATCCGTCTACGGTGAGTGGCTTAGGGCTGACACCGCATCATATAAGTTATAAATCGTTCTACAGAGTACGCCGGCGGCAGATTTATATCTATATAAATACATAAACCTATCAGTTGTCCTATTAAGTGATGGATCAGACTAATCTCATGGTTTGAATAATAAACATTAAACTGTTTGTATTGATCTAGATGTTTATGTATGTATTTACAAAATAGTAGTTAAATATTTCCTTCAGTTATTTAGTACCCATAGTATAATTCTCTTTATGCTATGAGTTTATATGACTACTCAAAAATGCATATTAAGTTTATTTCAATAAAGATTATTTCTACTTCTATTTCTTAGTTTGAGTTTACGGTCATATTCTAAGCTATATAATGATGGCTAGCTCATCCGTCATACTGGTGAACGAGTACTGCTTGTAGCGACTGGTGTTACTGTGTTAATAATTACAACTTTTTACTTTTATTTAGTTACTCAACTAGTTGGTGTGTATTTGTTATTTTGGACTTTAATCAACTAGTGCTATAGTCCGTATTGTATTAATACATTTCAACACGCAAATTCTTATTTGTTCTTCTGCTCTCCGAATGAGCGGTAGATTAATAAAATAAGTATGACTATTCAAAAATGTTTAAATGTATGTTTATTGTAATAAAGAATTTTCTATTCTATTCTAATAAAAAAAAAACACATAAAATTCATTGGCAGATCGAACGGGATCGTTATGTAGTAGTAGGAGGCTGAGGTCATCCATTATTTTACAACTCGCCACAAGTCTAGGTACTAGTTGACATTATAGTACATTTGTGGAGTTGACCATCTGCCGCTGGTTTTACTTGGTCAGTGATCGGTTGATCGTCTTGGTGATTGTCCATTGGGTCTAGCTTACAATATACTCCTATTCGTTTTATCTTTTAGGTACAGTATTTTGTCTCTTTCTATCAAATAAGCAGCGAGAGAGGAAATATATAGTTCAAAAACTAAAATTGGTTGATTGGATGTTTGACTATTTTATGAAAAAAGAAGATAAAAAAACAATCTTGACGAATAGTATATGGGACTAACATAGAAATAAATTCAATCAGTTGCATAAATAAAATTTATTTACCTTTCACCACAACAAGATATTGAGTAGGTAACACATACAGAAAAAACTACCAGTAAAAAAAGAACTGCTACTTTTTAAAGTTGGTTGAATGTATGTAGTACCAACCAAATAATCGACTCCCTTGATCTGTCTATCTGTCACAGACAATATTAACCCTGTCGATGTCGAGGGGCGCTGAATCCAATGGAATAACAATGAACCCGGTATAATTTGGACTGCGAACTGATACAATTACCTAACCTGAAACATTATGGCCGCACTAGTCGTAATTTTTTTATTTTATTTTATTTATGATAGATGCAATTCAACACAAAATATTAATATAATGAATATTTTGTTCAAATTTATAAGGCCATGCAATTTAATATTAAATTGCATTACCATTTAGGTATCAATCAAGAAAAAAGGAGCATCAGTATTCATTTTACTGGAAGAAACAAAACTCAACGTTCATTCTCATTGTTTAAAATATTCATTTTTTCATATCTGTCTGCATAATTATATCGGAATAACCATGCCAATTATTATTTGTTATCATTCTGTAAGTTATAAAATATTTACTAAAGTTAATTATCATTGTAGTGAGCTATATAAATAATGTAATATATATCATACCCGTTAATAGAAATTTGCATCGTACGAGTTTTTCTTCAGTTCTTTTTTAACAGTTCTTCTCATCTCGAAATCACTCTGAACTGACGGTAGATTTGACATATCATAAGAGTCTGTAATAGACCTACATGAATAAAGATATTTTTATTGATATATGAATCGAATAAACATATTTTCATTCTTTTTTCCTTTCTACTGAGTACCTTCCTTCCTTTCTACTTCTAGAGTGAGCGATACAACAGCAAAATTCGTCAACAATGAAAAACATTACACGGTCAATTTGTACAGTTGGTTGTAACATAAAATGTTTAACCCTCTAATACCTACGAATTACACTTTTAATTCCTTGAGAGCGACTCTCATTAGCAACGGAAGGGTTAACGTCAAACGGACCCTGAAATAAATTCTTTTGCCTTTTAAGATAATAAAAGAAATTAAAGAAGGTAGGTAGCTACATTTAAAGATGACTCTGTAATAACTATTAATTGTTTAGGGTTAAAAATATAAAGAAAATTCTTTGTCTATTAATATGCCATTATGTAGTTTAATATTTATTAATTACTACCTATGTGCCGCGGCGCTGCCTGCATAGAATACAACTTATGATATATGTTTATATAGGTGAAAGAAATTTAAAATACAGTCAAGTATTATTATATATTCATTGATTACACAGAAATAAACATACCATAAATCTGATGTTTCTTCTTTTAATAGTACCTAGTAGGTACCTATACCTACATCTCATTTAAGACATATCATATTATTTTAATATTTATTAAGTATTAGATGGAATCTATCTGTGGTATTAGTCATAATTAGCCATATAAATATATATATATTGTTCGCATAAATTTCCGTATAAGATATCCAATCTGTGCAACAAATTTAGTTTATTCTGCAATTATATAGTCCCTACCTAACATGTTAACACAGCCTAGAATATACATACAGCAAATTATCACGTAATTCAACGCACCTACCTATAAGTGTCTTTTTTTAAGAATATATTCTTGTATTATACATGTTATATTACTATGGGTTGTCACAAGTTCTTCAACATTTTTGAATCCGGCTAAAAGTAAGAACACTATATTTTTTCTCGTCGAAGTGCAGGGAAAATTTTTTCGGTTAAAAATATACTTAGTAGATAATATTAGTATCTATAGTAATAAAAATAATGTTACTTAACCAGTTCTCTTGTGCATAGTATCTGAAACAAGTTATTTACATAATTAATTATTTGTATTTTATAAATGTTAGTTAAAATATATAATTTGAAATTTAATATACATGGGCTTCAATAATTCCTCATAAAATCCACGCATTGTGAATACCCTGTAAAGCCATCTGTCGGTAAACGGACGAACTATATGCAAGTTTGCCAGCTGTTAGAGTTTGACTCGTTGCCACTAGGTGGCAGTAGTAGATCGTGCTAGAAAGGTATATGTACATGTATTTAAAATTTTAATAAAAAAATATCCTTGCCATGTTAGGTGTTTGTTAAGCCTTTCAAATACATCATACTTAAATAAAAAACATATACTGATTTGTTTTGTAACTTTTGCCACATAAGTATTCGCATACTTTTTTTGTATCTCTCAATATTTTACAGGGCTGAAATAAAAAGGGGCAAATTAATAAATATAGTATAATTCATAGAACAACTTTGTTTTGTAGTATGATTAAATGTTTTTTAAGTGATTATGTAGGTGATTACATTTGAAATAAAGGCTTAAACAAATATTCGTATTTTTTATTGTGTTATGCTCTATTTTTTTTAACAGCTTGCCACCCCGGCTTTGCATTTAATTTATTTAAACAAAAACTTAATATATAATCCACCTTCCTTAGATATCACTCTGTTCATTTCTGAAAACCGTACGAAAACACTTTTTGAGATTATTGCAAAAAGACACTTTGTTTTATAATATTTATAGTATATGTATATGTATCCTATTGTATAATAGGTATAAATATAGGTTGTTTATAGATTTAATATGTTAATAAAATAGTAAAAAATAGCTACAAATTGTAGTTATTAAATAATTCTGCTTTCTGTACCTACTAAAGATCTACTAAATTAGATTTTTAATTTTAAGAAGATTAAACATTTGATCTTCTATAATCATGTATATTTTCAATTAGCGTCAGATGTTTGTTTAAAAATTTCCAATTAATCAATATTGATTTTTTTTCTTATGTTGCAGTACTTAGTTAATAACGTAGTAGGTATTAGACGATTTCATAATGTTTTGTTGCGCAATGACAAAAATAATATTTAATTCACTTCAGGCCATTGACACTCTAGGTCAGGTTAAAGGCAACACAATCGGAATAGCTTCGCTAAGCTTTGATTTATATCCGACAATATTGCGACGCACTGACCCCCCTACTATTATTCATACACAACAATCCAATACGCATTGAACGTATTTTCAACTCAAACGCATATGTAATTAAGTGTATTATGATTTGAAATTGATTCCATAAATATAGGTAGCGTAGAAAGAACTGGAATGAAGAGAAATAGGGACGTAACGACAATGGGAAGAAAGAATGTTACATGATTTGTTTGCACTGAGTAATTTCTTTAACTCAGTGAGTATTGAAAGTTTCATTATGTTTGGACAATTTTATCTCAATGTAAAGAAAGGATAATTATATTTATTTTATGTAGGTACTAACTGGATTCTGGAAAACTGGAATTGCAAACCAGCTAATGTCACATGATGATAACAGAACTGTCATTTTAGTACTGTTCTTAAAACATAATTATGACTAAACGGAATAATATAACTAGTTATAATACTAGATTTGTATATTATTGTTCACAACTAAACTTTAGTTTAACTTGTTTCTGTGTTATTTACAATTGGGAATGGAATTCAACAATAAATATTACAGGGAGCTTGCTAAGACATATCAGTAGATATATCTATTGATTACAGATTTCTTAATTATCTAATTATTACATATCAAACTAATTACCTAGTTTCTATTTTTAAAATTGATAAATTATCTCATTTATAGAAATTGTACGATTATGATTATAATAGATAGATAATTCTTAAAAATATATTTTTTCAATACAGACATAGATAATATATCTACATAGAAAACACCCGGACAATTTTTTTGAGGACAATTCACACAGCTCCATCTAGTCCCAGTTAAGCTAGCTAAAACTTGTTTTGTGGGTACTAGATAACTTATACAAAGACAAACAAACAATCATACTTATAAATACAAATGTTTGTACTGTGCGAGGAATCGAACCATCAGAAGTAAAGCCGTGTATTAAACCGCTGGAGCATCGAGGTCGTCAAATAATAATATATTCAATGGTTTAGTGAATAAAGTTTACTTTCTGCAATCAACAATAATGTACCATGGAAGATATTTATTATGCAGCAAATATGCGTTCTTCCCACGGTCCCCCCATAACTCATGACCTATGGCCGTGCTTATGGTCTACGAGTACAGTGCATGCGCATGCACAGACAATCGAACGTCAATACTACAAGTTATGTTTACCCACATCCGTGAAAAGTGATGTCAGTACATTAATATCCTTTAAAGCATTTAAGACACAATATATTCTAACTAGACATTGCCCGCGGCTTCTTCTGTTTACTTTTAGATTAAAGATAGCTTCTTCTTCTACCTTCATGTCAATCATTAAAATACTATTAAACGATAATACATATGTACCTAATACATAAAATTTAACAAAAAGAAATCATAAGAAAATATTTTTTTTTGTATTTTACATATCTGTATGATTTACAAAGAGTTTTTAATACGAACAAAAAAGCATCTGTGTACAGCAGTAGGCAAGTACAAAAAATGCAGCCTCATACATATTTTATCAGAACAATATTCCTAAAAACAAAATCCACAAAGTTCACCCCCGTATCAAAGATACATTAGGAAATAATAGCGACACCACACCTTAATCTTATTACGTACATTATAATAACTTGGAATAACTTTACAAATGTTTTCCCAATCAGATTCTCTTGAGCGAAATCCCCAATTTTTCATCATCGCGAAATTACATTATCAAAAATTTGCATCGCCTACAGCGCCATCTATGAGCGAGTAGTGTATTATATAAAACAAAAACAATATTTATGCAAAAATTAATACTCTTTACACGTGCCACTCTTATTGCGTTAGCTGTAAGGTAAAAAACAGAATGGCAATTGATTTTCATGGGCGTTTGTATAACTTTGTAAATTGCATAGGTTGAGATTAGGGTTCGTTTCCGATCGCGCCCTCTGCTAAAACAGTATGAATAATAATGTGATTTGCATAATATCGAGAGTTCCGTCTAACGAGGATGTTTACTTTGATAAGAGGATTCGAAATAGTTAAATTATCTGAAGAAGTTCAAACCAGTACAAGCTAAGTAGGTAGCTAATCAAAATACAATATTTACATTTGACAGCATGACCTAATGATTTAGATATAACCACGACTTGGACGCAAGGTCCAAAGTTCGAATTTGTGTATTGAAACAAAATTAACCCAAAAGACGACAGTAGGATCGGCCCTTATTATCTGCTACATCTTTTGTGTATACAAAATTTTTCAATATTTCATACATTTTTCAATTAAAGTAGAAATTTGCATTTCTATCATGCATCTACTATATTATTCTATTTAAACTTATGACGTATGAATCAATTAAATAGTATTATTTCGTTTTTCCGAGTAAATATCTTTAGAAGTGACAACTTCCGGTTTTAAGGTAAATGATAGTAAGTTTAGGTAAGTAAGATCTAAATAATATATGTGGTTCAGATTACACTTGCTTGTAAAAATACATTTAGTAAACTGGAAACAAATTTACAGTTTACAGCATTGTTTCAGAATCATCGTCTATAAAATATGTAAAGAATTTTTGTCTCGGACTTAACTATTACTTCTTTAAACGGGTTAGATACCAACCACAACTCTTATAGATATATCTATCAGATATAGATAGAGATATATCTTAATAAAATTTTCATCCACTACCTCTGAACCCACAATAACGCGCATTACCATACAAATATGTCCGATGCGGAAGCGGTCAGTGTAAATAAATAATTGTAATTCTTAATAAAACTACCCTCAATGTTGCGGGATGCAGTAACACGCACGTGTCGCGAACTATACTAGTGTAACGCGACTGGCACTGCTCGATACTATTGTGTCATTAGAAAAAGAAATATGTTAAACTAATATTATCGTAATATTATTAATATTTAACAAAAATGTAATAGTTTATAAGAATAACTGTAACTACGTAAAATTGGTGCCAATAAAATATTATTATTCTTTTTGTCTCATCTTCACAGCTTTTGCTTTTTTTAATATTACTATTATTATATACTTGATATATTTTAATAATCCCCTCACCTGTTGACGATTACTAAATATGAATTACGATATAGTTATTTTTTATAATTATGAAATACATCCACCAATAGATATGTATTATCTCTTTATTACAGATTTTGATTAAATTCTTTTATTAATAATTTAAATCTAAATAACTTTCAATCAAGTAACTACAGTCGCTTCCATTTTTGATATATAAATAATTTAGTACTTATTCAAATTACTTTAACTTACACTGTTATCTCATGGCAAAAAAATAACAGGACTTGCGAATTGCGATGTCAGCTAGATCGCTGACGTCGCTGATGACGTTGTATCTATAACAATAATAGAAACAGATTACGCTATTTCTATTATTGTTATGGATACAAAGTCTACCTATTCTCAAATTGTCTTAATCTATAGATATTCTCAGACCTAAGAAACTATCGAATATCTAGTAAACTCTAAATCGTCTAGTCCAGAAGAGTTTGATTTCATAATTCTTTATATTACTATATTTACAAAAAATAAATATTCAATTTTTAATCATGTAACTAACACTAAAGTATACTTCGAATAAATTCAAAGTATTGCCATTTAAGGTGTAAAAAGGTAAAAATTAAAACAATAGCAAATATCAAAACGTTATAGTCGTGGTCGAGTCCGAAGATAGAGCCGTCACTACACCGCCGTAATGACCGGACACTTTACATAATTCGGCGATCGGTTGACCCCACACCGCATGTTTATGTCAAATGTTTGCTCAAGTACTCGGTCCAGTGCAGCAAAGATCAAATATCTACCCATCAATTCGGTATATTGCAGTATTTTTAGTAGGGG